TAGATCATTATAGATCCATTTGAAAGGAACATAGACCAGTCTACATTATAGCAAGGGCACACTCCCCCCCTTGTCGTTTAGACACACTCATTTGGACCCGGCAATGTCGGGCGTTACGTGGGCTTGACCTTCCCCGCTGTACCCTCCCTGCACTCAATTTTGGGACCTCTTTTGCAATTGCAGCTGAGACGACATTGATATTGATGATTGATAGCCTTTCACATCCTGAAAAAACCTTTTTTGGGTGGATTGGGGAGAGGTGGAAAGTTCAGTTAACCTGCATTTGTTCATGGAAAAGCAGCCTCGCAGTCAGCATGAGTTTATCAAATCCACCGTCACAGCTCTCAGCTCTCCAGGCATCCTTGGACCTTCGGCGCAGGAAGGCGCGGAGTACCGGGTTTGGAAGACGAGCTGAGTTGGAGGAGTGGAAGAGTAAGCTGAGACTTTGAACAACAATGGAATGATGATAACTTTAACCTTGATGATAACCATAACTTTGAAGCTTTGAAGCCACAATGGAATGATGATAATGATGCTCAATGATGATTCCAGGGAGTGTGGAACCAAGAACATTGAGAGTGATACATGAAAAACGACTGCTTGGACATCTCAGCTTCAGCTAGCGTGAAAATGGTTTACCATATCTCTAGCTGCCAGCCGCCACACTAGAACAGCACTCAACGTCACATCATGTTCATGACAGTATAAAGCATGGCAAGTTACTGGGAAAGCAGCGCATTGAGTGTTGGAGAGTGTCTTTGGTGAATCCCGCACTTCAACAACGCAACAACGCAGTGGGTGCCCTAAAGCCAAACATGTGCATGAGACCGCGATGCATTGGCAGCACTGCGCTGAAGCGGTGGGTACGCTAGAGCCAAGCAGGTGACAGCTTTTCTGATCGTCGATCAGTCTGGCCACTGACAACCTCGCTGATGTCAGATGTCTTGTCATTTGGCGCGTAGGACAGGCACCGGTCAGTTGTTCTTTCTCTCAGCAGCCATTGGTGTAGCATGGTGTAGCATCGTTGTCGTTGAGAAGCTTTGACTAACTACCTATTTCCTTATTATTGTCGCTGTATTATTGTTACTTGGAACCCGTGGGACCCCTGTTTAGGAACTTGAACATGTTCTTTCCTATCAAAAAGAGGTCAACTGGTTTCTAGGTATCTAAACTAGCATATTGCTTTATTATGTTTCATTTGACGAAAGACGGTGGATTCATGTGCCATGATGTAGTTGTCCGTCCATTCGCACTCATAAAGTTTTCTGAAAGAGACCTTCCCGTTTCCCCCTTTTCATTAGTGACCACCGGACTGCAACCCAGTAGGATGTCCTCCATGAGGCTTTCCTGAGGCTTCAGGCGCAGCATCCCACGATGAACTGGGATAAATAAGAGATTTGATCCCTGTCGGCGGCCACCGGTGATCGTATACCTTAAATGAACCTTTGCAGACAAATTGCAGGATCCAAGATCCCTGTTCGGGGTATTGAATCGACCGAGTGCTGCGTACTGGGCGCCGTCAGGCTGGCAAGCTTTGCCAAGGAAGCTCCTGTGACTTGGCCCATTCTTTTTCAACGTATAGCCCAGTATAGGCTGATTGAATCTTATTTTCCAAGGTGAATGGTTGGTTGGCATGATGTGCAATCGTTGTTGATGTGAACCATGTTTATATAGGCGTTGAGTGTTAAATCATGCGCTCACATACTTTCATAGCTCGATGGGTCCAAGCTGGGTTGCTGTAGCAAAAGCCAACGAACCCCTGAAAAAAGGAAAGCGGTTGGTGTGGGCATTGAGTTCATCCAAAGGCTGATCTTGTTTGCCACTCATTGCCTGCCCTGCCCTCGGACAGCTTCCGCCAAAGAGTGGACCTGGTGACCCAACCCGTGACTCAACTGACTGAACTGATGGGTGGATTGAATTGAGTGAGCAGCTCATTGAGCTCATTGATGTGGTCGACTGACTCTACCTCCCTTTGGTATACTCTGAGGCCCGATTTCCTGCAGCATAATATACATCCACTTAAATGTATTTCAACCCTTAGCAGAAGACCCAAGGACGGATATCGTATGATGTCATGCTTATGTTTAAAGCAAGGAGTCACACACACACACACACACACTGATGGACCGACGGATTTCTACGCCTGGAGAGCGGTTTCATGGATCGGAGTCCGCCCCAGGTCCATGCTGTGAGGAACTTGCGCCGCTGGGGCGTGGTGATGGGTTCCGTGTGGGAGTGAGAATCGCCCTAGCCCTGAAAGTCCAGGAAATTGACTCATTTGGACCCCATTACGAAAGCCAGCCGATAGGCTAGGCTGAAGTCAGTGCTGCGAACGAAGTTCGTTATAAGGGTGTGTGGGGGGGAGGTGGGGAAAAAGGAACGCAAGCCATGTTAGCCTGCTGCTTGAAATGATGTGATTTTTGGTAGCTTGGGGATGCAAAAGATGCAAGGTGATGAGTTATTGCATCACTAGCATCGTCTCTACCCGAGAGTAGTACACATCGCTAGTCCAAAGGCAATCTCTTGACATGTGAGCATGGCTGAAATAGTTGCGTGAATGAATACGTGTATGTCCATTTGTAGAACAAGCCTCGTGCAAATGATTTCCCGAGACCACTGCTTTCAGTTTCAATACCTTGTTCTGAGATTTCAACAATGGCAGAAACATGGAGACACCACGGATAATGAGCCAATGGCAAAAGCCAAATGCCGCGGATAGTGAGCCAATAACAAAAGCCAAATGCTGGCAGCAGTGGGGATGGCAGTCCAAGCAGAAAACCCCAAAGAGAGACCAGGGTCTTGGGCAACCATATCCACCACAGCAGTGAAGGTTGTCCCACCAGGCAGAGTTGCAGCAGCTTACTGAACAGGGCTAACAGAACTAGGTACATATATATATATATATACTTATGGGTATATACTGTTTGTAGAACATGCCTCGTACCAGTCACTCGCGGAGACTGGCCCTATGATTCCCCAAGGCACACGGTTTTCAGTTTTAATACTGTGTTTCTGAGATTTTGACATGGAGGAAAAGCTATCTATATACATATATATATATATACATATAGCATGCTTGGTAGTAGTCATTTGATTCGATCATTTTTGGGTCCCCGCCCCGGAAATACCACAAAAATATGAGTAGCCGGGGCGGCCGACGGACCATTTTGCTAAAGCACCGGTTAAACTGGTGCGATACTAAGGAACTGCGTTGACCCACTGGGAATAATCCCCCCCCCTGATCAATTTCTGACCCTAATTCTATAAGGTGATTGAACAAGTACAATTATTCGCGCTATTATTATGAAGCCAGCATGACATGCGTCGGATGGTGTCGCCCTGCTTTCGCCAATAAAGGCACACACGCAAACCAAAAGACATGAGCAAAGACTGGGCACAGCAGAAAGACGCCGGGTCTCCACCCGTGCCCGACCAGATGTGGATGAAACATGATGAAACACGCTTTGCCGGTCGCGCGTGGTTCCTCAGGCGCTTGCATCCTCAGAGCTCTCGATGGCTGCAGTTGGTAGAGGCAAGTTCTGGGTCGTGGAGGTTGGGCCGTGCAGAGCTTTATGATATCTAAAGGCCTTGGGTTCAGATTCTGTTCAACATGTCCTATTGATACATACCAGCACCACCCAGTTCGGGTGGCTTATAGACCCCCCCTGAAGAGGCATGTTGGAAATGTTTGTGTTAAAATCCGCTGCGCTTGACTGTTCTGCACGAATGAAATGACATTATTGTTTCCAATAAAGTTTGGGATGTCACAATATTAGTGGATGGATGTTGTTGAGGCATTTTGTGTGCAGTTTTTCTCCTGAAGAGAAGCCATTTGCTGATTGCTACCCCTATCAATGCTTATTATGATATATGTGTATATAAAGGTAGACCGTTGCCGATGTTGCTGTATGCACTCAATTGAACATCAGCCAATTCGCTCGATTTCGGTTTAATTTTCCTTTCACCATCCATGAGCTGAGATGTCGTCAAACGTGTTGTCCAATGCTTCTCGAAGCATGAAGTGCACCTGACACACGGGGCGACTCAGGTCACCAGGTTATAGGTTTCACCATAATGCTATATAACAATTGTTCAACTCTACTCTGAGACCCTTCCCTGTCCATGCTGTGCCAAGAGAATACACCATGAATCTGTAGGAGTTGAGGCATTTTCTGTTGCCTTCCCCGGCTGATCAAAAAGAAATTGTTATACATGTTGTCAATCGGAATTCGCGGCATGGACCGTTTATCTCTCCACATGGAGGGGTCGTAATGGTTGTGACAAGAACCTCGGCCATGGCAGCTCAGAATGAGAGCAACGCAGGTTTTTCAAAAGAGCTCACATGGCAGCTTGAGAATGGTATTCTCACGACAGAATCTTCTGCTGTCAAACTTCCTTCAGCATATTGGATGGTGTTCAACATGTTCACGGATACCTTCGAAAGTTGCAATTGAATGCCATTTAGGTCATATCAAACACAGATTGGATGGTTTTTGCTAGGTGACTCAACAGATCTTACAGGTTTTGAAGCTACTGACAACTGATTTTCTGTGACAACTAGCAACAGATCTTACTTCTTGATGAAGCAGTTGGTTCAGCACACCCAGCTTGCGGCGGAGCGGCCACTTTCTGGATGGAGCAGGTAAGCAAGGACGATCCTTTCATGTTGTTTAGGGTCCATCACTTAGATGAAAGGAGACACCTCAGGGTGTGCATCAGAGATGCCGTTTCTCGCGTTTCTGGCGAGTGGCCCCCCATCACTGGGCTGAAGAGTCCAACGTGGGTCGGGACCGTATTTCCATGCACGGTCAAGCGTCACACTGGGATAGACCCAAGACATTCCAAGACCAATTTAGACATTGTTGATCTGGTGTTGTAGTGTAACATCCTTAGTAAAACAATGCGTGATTGTTTCAAGGCTATTCAATAAATGGATATTAATGGTGGTTCGACTTCTTGGGTAGTGGAAACGCACTCCAGTCTGACTGGAGCTGCGGGCGATGGTCATGCAATCGTTGGACGACGCTTTCGACGCCTTCGACGATGGCTATGGGGTCTTTGATGAAGATGGCGGGGAGGCAGAGGATCCACAGGAAGCTTGGATTAGCTTGGATTGAGCTTGTTCCGGGTGTTCTTATTCTATTTGATGTACGATGAACACGTGGTTCTCTTTTTGGGGCGTACGATGAACAGGACTACAGTAGCGAAATGGCATATTGACAGATTGAGCAAAAGAAGGTGATCAACAGATATGCACTCCCCGCGACAAACATGGAAGTGGAGTTCAGTTCCCTCCCTGTTTGTAGAGGAGACCCGTCTTTCCAGGGACCATGCCATCCAATTGTATAATTCTTGGAGAGAGGCTACATAGGCCATCGCAGGCCACTGTTTTCAGAACAAAACACGAAATGCAGATGAATCAACCCCCACAACGCCGCTTGAATGGATGATGCATAAAGTATGCATATGTTTTATCATATACCTTTTTGATTCAGGTATTTGTTTCTTCAGGCTTGTGGAACCACGTGGCTACACGGGTTCCCTTGGCTTAACCATTTTACCTGCCTGCCATTGACTTGCATGCAAACAAGCCTTGCCAAGGATGGTTCCTCATTAAAGTTAACATGTTTAGAGCGATTCAGCTATTCAGCTGCTCCGAACGCAACATATTGCAACCGGAAGAGTGCCAAAGTAGACAATCAGAGCACCATCCAGTTTTCGCTCAGGACGGAGCTATTCGGAGTTCAGGTAGTATCCATCTTCCGCATGTAGCTCCGGACTCCGGAGCTACAGGGAGTTCCCCTAGGGCTCCTGGCCCACCTCCTGAGAAGTTGGGGTAAGTTTGGGGGGGTCTAACCACCGAACCTGAGGATATAGTTGGAACCCGAGGGAGTATTATATAATCCCTTGTGGTTCCGACCCACAGCTGTGTTGTTTTCTCAGGAAGGCTTCAGCAGCCTCGTTGATGGTGCCAATGAGATTCTCATGGAGGACCCATCCAGTGGTCTGGTTGAAACAACCGGGGACCTATGAGAAGGAGCCACAAGGAACGTCAGTGGGTTAACCTTGGCCAACCTGTCACTTCTTTTGAATTAGGGTTGGGTTTCTCCGCCGAGCATGAACTGAAAAAGGATCACCTTCATTTTCCATGGAAAAGATCGGTTAGTGAGTGCATGTGTCACGACTCTTGGTTTAGTATGGTTTAGTTTCGGGTACTTTCCGGCTTGCTCCCACAGACGAACACCTGGACAAACCTGGGACCCCCGAGTCATGGATCGAGGATGATCAAGGTGCCACTTCAGAGGGATGGACCCACCTTGGAACAGCCTGGGCCCAGCCGAAGGTGAGGTCCGACTGCGAAGGCGGTGCTTTGGCGGTGCTTGGATCCACCCCTGCACCTGCGCTGCGCAAGCGTTCGGGGTCGACGCACCTAGACTAGAGCCTGTCGGTTTTGTGGTGCCATTGACACAGGGGACCTAGAGGCCCTTCCAAGAGAGGTATCCAGTGACCCTAAATGGGACCCGTCACCTGGAGTACCGAACTGGGATATCTTGTCTGTAGGGTCCTTCAACCTCTGTTGGTTCTGAAGCTTTGGACGTTTCATGTCTTGAGGGGGGGCCGATTCATGCCAAGGAGTGAGCAAAGTATACTGAAGCCCCTGATTCCCTGGGCGGATTCCGTTGCACAACAAATGGAGTCCGCAAGTTCCAGGCAGACCGGACCTGTAGAACTCGTTTTCGTTCTCGACCGGAACCGTAGAGTTCCTCTTCGAGGGCGAGTGATGTCGTGGTGCTCTCGATGTGGTTTTTTGCTTTTACCTGTGTTGCCTTTGTGGCTGCTTCGTTGGCTTCGTTGGCTTGTGCTTGGGTTCCCCAGAGGGAGGTAAACCACAAAACCGCAAATAAGGACACCATGAGACAGCTATACAGGTCCATACACTTGTACATCTATCCCTGAGGATCCATGTAAATATGGCCCTACATTCACCACCAAAAGCCACCACATGTTGGCAATAGGACTGCTGCCCCATAGATCGTTTGGGTATAGGATCTATGTTCCAAATCACTTCAAGGTAGCTTCAGCTACCTGACTGTCTCCTTGCTTTCCAACAGAGGTTGAAGAACCCTATAGGCTATCCCATAGGTACCCTGGTAGGGTCCTATAAGGTCACTTAACCTCTGTTGGTTAGCAGCATTGTATTACAATCTGGAGTTCGGGATTTCGCTCCCTTGGATCAAATCCCCCCTGCGCCTGTCGCTGTCGCTGGGTCACAAGACAAAGGAGTGAACAGCGATGACTCGAAAAGAGCTTTGACGAGTTCGAACTGCAAGACCAGTGATGATGCGGATGTGAAAGATTTGCTGCCTTTCGTTCACCCCCTCCTATCTCAAGTTTGCAATCTCACAGCCAGTTTCCTTTTGGGTATGATAAGGCTCCCAGCGGCGTGCTCTTTATTGGATGTCCAAGGCTACCAGAAGACCTCACATAGGACGCTAGCTGGATGAGCAGCGCGAAGAAGACAACTGGCCGCCAATGGACGACGGTTCATTGATCCTGGCATGTTGCGAAGGACATTTGTAGATCCAAAACCAGCGCTGTGAGATCTTTCTATGCCAGCCACAAGGTTGCTTGCACATTCAAATCACCGTCTAGCGGTGGATGGAGGTGCCAGATTGGGTTTGCTCAAGTTTTCTCTCCCTGGCAATGCATGGCTTCCCAACTGCCAAGGTGACCGTCCTATTTAGGGTCCTGGCATGCTGCGTGTGACATCAAGTGAATTCTAGTGACCATACGCTGAAGGACCTTCCTGAGGAGGAGATGCTGAGAGCACTCATGCTTGCACGCATGACACACACAGACACACACACATAGGCACGGCAGGTAGAGATGGAATTGCACGGTCTGCACGGTGCAACTCAGAAAAGAAACCCTTGGGCTCCAATTTTCAACAAGTACCAAGAGAGGTTGAACAGCCCTATAGACCATCCCACCTATATGGTCTCTCAACCTCTCTTGGTAGCCCCTTAGATCAGCACTCACCTGATCTCCCTTTCTCTCCCATCCCGACGTGGCCGGTTGAACTGGGTCCCTGGCAACGACCCTGGCCAGGACCAGGCGCGGAACGAGCGCCAGGCGCGCCGGAACGTGCGGATCCGCGGGCTGCTGAAGACCTTCCGCGACTCCTCAGAGGCAGAGGGCAGGGGGTGCGGGAGTGAAGCTGTTGGTTTGTGGGGAAGGTGATTTGTTGGTTCGGACGTGTGGCGGCTGGGGTTTGGAAGGCATTGGGTTTTTGGGGGGTGGGTTGATTTATGTTGACTTCAATGGAGAAGTTACGACATGAGAATTGAGATCAGAAGCAGATGGAAAGTCGGCCAAAACGGTCTAGAATGAACCAACCCTCCAGTGTTGGTGCAGGGTGTGGTTTGGCTTGCCCCACAGAGAGAGAGCCTCCTAAGCTTTGTTGGTTTGCGTTGTACGAGGCAGAGACGATGGGCTCTACTACTTTTGATGCCTTTGCAAACCAAATCCAACATTGTCCAACCATCATCATCGACTGAAATGTGGTCATGGGATTTACATGGATTTACCCAAAGTGTTCGAACAGTTGCAGTGTTTCAGAAGATTCCTGACCAGAAGTGGTTACGTCAAGCACATGCAATTATTAATTCCTGCACAGACATGTGGATCTTGATCATTTTAATAGGCTCAACTGTTCGATTGGCCTAAAGCAGGCCACGTCCTGGGTGTTCCCGCGTAGTTCAGCTGTGACTAGCTGAGAACTTGCCCGTTCGATATCCACCCTTCCCTTTGAGAAGCTGTTTGAAGGGGTTTGATGAGAGTCATGAGAAAATCCAAGGAACTTTTGGCCTCAATCTCTTGGTGCCCAAGTACTTGAAGATCTTGAAGCCTCACATACATACATATATATATATACACTTATCGGCCAAACATTCAACACAGCTGTCGACACTCAGGGAGGCGAGCACAAGCTTGAGAGTGGACCAGTAATTAAGGTTCTTATAACGGGGGTTGTGCTGGTCCACGAAACTGCACACTGAGGCGGCTCCGAAGCCTTTCAAGATGGAGGGCTTTGCCAAGGTCGCCGGGCCCCAGGTGCGCGGCTCGGACCATGGCCATGATGACTCACTGGTGACCCTTTCAAAAGGACCGCACGTTATCTCACTGACTTGAAACAACCTCCCAGGTCGTCCCAGTCACTTCATCAACTCGACTCCACCCTCGGACCCCACTCCGTTTCGAGGCGCGTTTCGAGGCGCGTCTTCACCCCATCCGCCCCTCCGCCGCGCGAGGCGCCGCAGTCGGAGCATCCACCTTGGTGGGTCGAAAGGGAGCACCCCACCGAGGCGGAGCGATTCGCTCGCTCCGCGGTCGTTCGGTGCGGTTCGGGTTCGGCTCGGCTCTGGGTGGGGCTGGGGTGGGGGCCGGGACTTGACGGACCGGCAAGGTGCAACTGACGAGTGTGGGGTGGTGTGGTGAATCGGGATGGGGGAGGTGAATCGTGAGTCCGGTTTTACCACTCAACACGTGGAGCTGACCACTCAGATCAACAGCCTACCTCGTGTGGCAGATGGTGCTGACCTACATGAAGTCAGGGTAGCACTCCAGGAACCAACAATCGACGTTGAAAAGCATATATATATAATATAAGTCATTGGTGGGTGCGTCCAGAACGAGCATTTTCTGAACAGACCCCTAAAAAAAGAAACACAAATAAGGTGAACAGTGTTTGCGGCAGTATTTGCAACGGCCACCCTGAACAGGGACATGTTGGTTTGTAGATTCATCACTTTCGGGATGCGTCGCTAACTTCAGGGCCGCGCGCGCGCGTGGCGCACGCACTGATACAGATACGGCGCCTGTGCACCATGGTGGCCTTGCATTTTGCCTTTAACAAATTGGTTCTTTTTTGATGTGGAATTCAGGATTTGATTCATAGACCAGGAGTCACAAAGGATTGTTTTTCGGTCCTGTTCAGTGAGTGGATGTGACAGGGGCACCCCTATCCTCCAAGTTCGGCACCCTGACATGTTACACCTGGTGTATGAAAGTATCCATGCATTTGAAGAAGTTCAGTTTTGCAGTTGGTTTGAAGTTCCTAAACCTTGCAATTGTTTCCTATAGTGCGAAGACGTTCATAGATCCAACTATTCCAACTACCAGTCAGGCAGTAGACATTAGACCTTTGTTGGAAACCGAATTGTCCACAGGAGTCTTACAGCATTGAGGCACAGTCAGTTGAAATGGATACGCTCTCACTTACTAGACCTCGACAGCCCCTTTGGAAATCTAAATAATTTCTTCCTACTACCATTACTCCCTCAAATGCTCGGTCTTTCACCCTGCCAAGAGCCAGAGGAGTTCTTAGACTTACTAACAGTCGGCTTTCAAATCGCTCTCCAAATCTCCAGTCAATCGCTTTTGTCCATCCTCCAGACGTCTTTTCTTCTAAAATGAAGATCTCCCTTATAAAAATGCCTAGCTGTAGGTCATTCGATCAAACTATAAAGGCACAAGAAACGGGGAATCTTTTTCCCTTTTTCCACGCTTACGACCGGACGTTCCAAACGGCCTGCCCCGGACGTCGCGCCAGGCCTCGCTGCGGCTCCATGAGGAGCTCATCGACTTCACCGAGTTCCTGCGTCCCACCGTCATCGAGGCCGGAGCCCAAAAGCGACCAACAGAGGTGATGACGTGACCTGAGAGAGAGAGAGAGAGTAACATCCCCTAAACCTCCAACCACCTCCTGAGAAGATGGTTGGGGTGTGTTTGGGGGGTCTAACCAACTTCTGAGGATATGGTTGGAGCCCTAGGGATCATGATAAAGGTTGGAAGACCCCAACACCCACCCGAAGCACCCGAAGCACCTGAGGATGTGGGACAGCCATCGATTCATAGCGCCAGGCGGCCATGCGCGATGCCTGGGTCCACTCCATCGAAGAGGCAGCCAAATCCCTTTGGCCAGAGGCGCCCGTGCTGGGATGGCAGCCTAACCAGCCTAGCCACCCCTGATATGAACTTAGATGTACTTGATGTGGGGAAAACATGTTGGACCTGTTTGACTTGTAACACGTGTTTTGTGTTTTTGGATGTTTTTGGGACCTGTGTGCACATATCAAGCCTCTAGTTTTAATGAGAAATAGTACGCAGCCAGTACGCTCATAAACCATCCTAATTCCACATCAAGGATCCCTCTTTGCAGTCTGACTCCTTCCCAACTTGACCTCCTTAGGCTGCAACGTCATTCTTGCCGAGTCCGGGGAGCTTCGGCCACAAGGCCTAATAGGCTGCACCGGCGGAAGACCTGATCATCTTCCCGACTGGAACACATACATGTCAAGATACCCTTCTGGAGAAAATGAGCCTTGAACTCTCCAGGTCTTGGGGAAGTAAACATGACACTGGGATCTTTGGATGTTGACCCAGTTCACCCCCACCCCCACCCTTTGAACCTGGATCCCGATCGCCAAGTCAGCCACCTCCCACCTCAGCCCGTGTTCTGCGAACGGACCATGGAGGTCCGGGTGCACATTTTTGGCTCCACCTCGACGAGTCTGAACCTCCCCAGTGCCGACATCGACGTGGCCATCGTGTCGCTCGACTGTACCGCCGGCGACGCCGGGTCCCGGCGTTTTTCGGTCGGTGTCCGGTGGTCGTGGTTCGGCGGTCGTGGTTCGGCGGTCGGGAGATGCAGGAAGAAAGCATGTTCCAAAACGGACCGACCGTTTCTGTTGAGATGTCATGGTTTTGAGATGCTTTTGAGATCTCACATGGTATGACTGCATGCATCCATTGGCGGACTGAACATTAAGCCGGTTAAGCGCAAGACCTGGGCCCCTAAACCCCACGAAACTGGAGTGTTCTCACAGTATATCTTCACATACTCTTGCCCAGTCAGAACCTGACATACTCTTGCGCGGTCCTGAGTTTATTTGATTATATTTTAGTTATGACTGGGTTTCTGTAGTTAAACAGTCATAGTGATGTTATTTCAGCAGTCATAGTTTAATTTTTAATTATAGGGGCTTTGTCTATGTTATCTCATGTGTTATCCCATAGCAAGAAGCTGGCAATGCTGTGGCCAATAGAAGTTACGCCGTGGCGAAAGGGGCGTCTACACTCTACACATGCGCCACACACCAAAAAAAAAGGGAAGCGGAAGTACATGGATTACCTGCAAAAACCTGACTTTGGGTGATGAGAACACACCTTCATGAACAGATGGAGTTCCAGGAGAGGTTAAGTGAACTGATATATATATATATATATAGGACCCAAACTATACCTGGGGTACCGATATCTGGGATAGTCGACCAGTCGGGTTCTGAAAAACCTTTGGTTGGTTCGTTCGTTCGGTGTTCACCCCGGAAAACAAACATAAAAACATGTTGTTCCAGGGATCGTTTAGGGTCATAGAGGCTGAATGGTCAACCGCACAGGATTTGCCACTACAAAACCAGGTCTTTCCCCGATCAGACGGCGATTCTGGTGTTTTGACCGAGATGGGACCACTTCGGCATTCGGCGGCTTCGGCATCGGAGGGAGCGGAGATATAAATTTAAAGCATTGAATCAGGAATTCACCGGAGCATTGTTTACGCGAAACGATGTATGTTTGGTTGCAAATGCTTTGACTCGTGTTCTGGAATTTCCTGAGTAGAGGTTCCAGGTCCCAGTGGATTCGTTTAGTTTTGCTCAGTCTATGGGTTTGAGTCTTCGAACGGAACGAACGGTTTAGGCGGTCGAGACGGCCGAACGTCGGCAGGAACGTGACGAACCTCCGGGTCACCACCGCGATGAAGCAACTGGCTGAACGCATGCTGGAGCGACAGGAGGCTCGATCTAGATAGGTTTGCATTTGGTGAAAAGCCTGGATGGGTTTTGAAGTGGGAAGGGCGCAGCAAGACCACGCGCCCGGAATTTTCACGACTGTTCAATGATTCAATGACCACTGCTGTCTGTCTGTCGAGTCCGTCTGTTGAGTCTGTTGAGTCCGTCGTCCAGAAGGATATGGATATGGAGCGGGTGATGGGGACACTCACTCCTGGTGCGGGTGAAGCGAGTGATGGGGGACCGTGGGATCCTACACAGCAAATCCAATGCATCTCACCCCGTCCAGATGCAAATGGAAATAACAGAAGAAGAAACCGTTTCACCCCACTTGGACAGCAAATTCTAGTATATATAGTTATTTGGCCTCTTTGAGGACCAAACAGATATGTGTGTTTGGACAGTTAAGAGTTTCAAGTTTCTCATATATGGACCCTATGTTTTTTGGGGGAATTGCCCTGGATACACATGTAAAATCACGCAAACAAAAAAAATACAACACAGTTTATGGGTCCTGGGTGGTGTCTCTCTAATGTTTTGGATATAGATGTACGGTAATATCAGCAATACAAACTGGAGATCCAAGTCTCCAAGTTTCTCTACTGTAATGTCAAGCAGGGCAAGGCATATATACTAGTGCGATGGACCATGAGTGTGCTCAACATGTTCGACATGAAGCTCCTAGTATCAATGCTGTTGTGTGGTGATTTTTTCTGACTAGCACAGAAGAACGACACATGCATGTAAGACAATCAACAGCGTTTTGCTGCTGTGGGTTACACCATGTATGAAACTACAAGCATGGTTGATTTTGGTTGCTTTCAATCTTCCACATCAGTGTTGTGGGGTCACCTTTTGATGCAATATGGGGTTACATCAAACTTCATCAACGGTGTTGACAACTGTTGACATGCCATTAGGCTCAGGTTGCACCCTTTCCTGCAGTTAGCACATGTGGGGGACTTACCATAAGTGAGAAGATGGGGGACTTACCATAAGTGAGAAGAAAAGACCAGTCACGATGTGTTACAAAACAGGTCAAAATAACTGTCACAACGGATGTTCAAGTTATTGTTCGGTCTCTTTGGAGACTCCGTTGAAGAAGGCTACTAGTAGCAAAGGGCATCGCTACTAGGAACAAGGGCATTACTACTAGTAACAATAAAGCTACTATTCCGAGAGTTTCAAAGGGGTGCGATCGCGACGCGTGGGCCGCGGGCCACAGGTGAGCAAAGTGGAGATCATCCAGTCTGCTAAGGCGAGGGGAATCGAAGAAGAAGAGCGGGCGAAAAGATGTTGTTTTTTGGGTGTGGGGGAAAATAGGCATGTTTGTCAACTGGACCTTGGTATCATTGTTGTTCATTGTCATTACTAAAATACTGTTTCTTGGGTTGTGTGTTTGCGGGCTTCTGACAATGGCTGCTTCAAGCGTTAAAAATTATGTGTGTTTATTTAGTCTTTTTGTTTAATTGGACAATGTTGGTGAACACTGAGAGGTCTCCTGGCAGACTTGATCCTCGGTGCTTTATTTTGGATGGTTCAAAGTTTTCGTGGGTATATATATATACTATGCATGCTGCATTTTTGTGTATGTGTTATAAACATGGTTGGGGCGGTTAAATTTGGCCAAGTAATGTTTTTTGCTGCCCTTGACTGCTGCATGGATTGTGAGCAGTATATTCAGTATAACAGTGTAATGACCTTGTCAGAGGTTGAGTTGGCTCCATGGGGTGCAGCAAGTGAACAATGTATGCTTGTTTGTGCTCCCAAGTGGAGCATGCAGGATGCCAGAGATACAACTCATCCTCATGTAAGTAAACAATTGCCGACTGAGAAAGCGGGGGGTGGGCGGGATTTTCGGGTTTGACTGATTTCACCAATTTCTCAACAAGGTGACCTCGGAGTCCTCAAACCAGTCTTGGCATAATCTGGAAGTGGTTTGTGGGTGTTTTGTGTGAATATCGTGCACATGCATGTGTTGCTGTAGGAAGACCTCCATGAACCCAAAAGGTGACGCATCCAGTTGCAGAGGTTCCTTAGAACAACCCAATGAAAGGTTGAACAGTTAAAGTTAAGCCCTGACCAAGTACAAGATCAATCTCTATCTAGAACCTGAATGACCTCTATTTTGGACCACCAACCACTCAAAATAAGGTCTTTTCCTATCAAAACAGAGGGTCAAATGGGTTCTAGGTATCTACCAGGACCGAAACCGTTCGTCCAGTGGTTTTTGGACAACCCCTTCTTCACCACCACCACGAGGCGGTCCTGTCCACCGGGGTGAATTCAAGCGAAACGCGCGGGGTGAACCCACTAAACTCGCGAGAAACGAGCGAGAAACTCGCCACCCAGCAGAGTTTCTTTTCTTTTTTTTTCCAGAACGCCACTGTTCGACTACCAGCAGAGGTTGAAGAACCCTATATAATATAGGTACTTCACCTCGGTATCGGTCGCCCGGAGACCGGACATCGGGGGTCCTTCAGATCACCGGAGATCACGTAAAAAAACGGCGTCCAGGTACCGGTGATGAAGGTGCAGCAGAGAACCACCGGGCTCATGGCTGACATTGTGATCAACAAGACCGACGGCTTGGATACGGCCAAGTTCGTTCGAGACTTGGATGCGGCGGTCGCGTTCTGCTTCCGAAAAAAAAGAGGGTGGAAAAGAGGACGACGATGGCTGGGTTTTTAGAGGGTTTGGGCACATCGCTGGTTTCTCCTCCCAGCCACACCATCCATTTTCCGCCTCAGCTGAGCTGAGTTCTTCGTCTTCCAACACCTCGCCTTTCGGACTAGATCGCCGGAAAGGCTCCGCTTCGCCTTTCCGAGGGTCGCAACGGACTGGGGAGGGTCCGCTTCGCCCCACGAATGGGTCGCAGCCCCATTCGGGTCGAACCAATGGAAACGCATAGGGAAACAGAGCGAAGCAGCGAAGCTCACCGCCAGCTGGCCCGTTCTATCGCTGCCTTTGAACCAGGGGGGTGGGCGCCAGGGGGGGTCGAAGACCATCGAACCTGAGGATATAGTTGGAGCCATAAGGTCACTATAATACTATAATATAAACTATATCCTCCAGGGTCACTATAATATAAACTATAGATGTCCATAAGGGGGAAGATGATAGGAGATGTGAATTGTTGTCGTTGTCGGTGACGAAACGTCTTCAGGTAGGTCATTTACAGGGGCCAAGATTGGATAGCGCACGCTGGACGCTAAGAAGCCCTCAATACTATAGATAAATATACTATGTATATATAATATATATAATACATATGCTGTTTTTGGTATTGTTTTGGTTAGATAAATGCCTTTTTGATTTCTTCGCAGTTGCCAAAGGGCAAGGCTTCAAAAAATCTACAATTCGCTGAGGCATGCGGTTTTCCGTTGATGCTCCCACCGACGGAAACCACACGACGTTTATCGCATGTGCTGCGTGATGAATCGCATGGCGATTGAGGGGAACAAATGGCGATCTTCCCTGCCATGCCTCCGCTGGTGCTTTTCCTGAAACTGTTCTTGGCCCAGAGGAATCTCCACGCCACTTGGCCAGTCGATGACGGGATGACGGGTGCGTTGTGATGTTGATTTGCTTGCTCCTTTTGAACAAATGGGGGCGCAAGCTGTGCTACTGCTACATGAAACGCAAAGGCTTTTTCTGTGGGAATGGCAATTCTTTTCCCATTGCCATGGCCACTCAACATCATGGCTCTAACAACCATCAACTGCCGCAAAAAAAATGCTTTGATGAAACCTGCTTCAAAGGATGCAATTTTTGGTGGTGTCCTAAGGTGTTGTGCCGTAAAAAATGACATCCCTGAATTTGTACTTACTGGTGTAGTCTGAAGTCTTTTCTTAATCTACAAATACCTAAAAGCATTGAATATTAAATAAATATATATATATATACATACACATAGGTTCTGGAGCTTGTAGGAAGTAGAAGTTGAGCCCATATGACACCGACACCTGTTTTGAAAGGGCGGCAAGGCCGTACTTTGGGCTGTTGGTCTTTAAGACACACTTACCCTCCGTTGAACAGCATTGAAGAAGACAAACCTGTTTGTGGAGGAGTAGTTCATTGTCTTTCCAGGGGCCAGGCCGTCAACTTCCATTGAACTTCTATGATTTTTGGAGAGAGTGTGTCAGCTCCAGGTGTACCATGTTATACTTTTTGTAATGTTCCACAATGTATTCTAATCCTAGACCTTTCCATGGAGTTAACATTTGCGTTTCGATTGGACAGATGCAGAACAGAGAGTCGTGTGATGGACGTGTGATTTGTTGTGACTCCATATATATATATATATATGTATTGTCCTCCCCGCACCATCCATGTATGGAATAGTTACACTAGGGTCCAATTAGGGGGGTCTTACTTGGGGTACATGATGCATAGTATGATACATGCATATACGTAACTATTCCATACATGGATGCTTTGGGCCCTACCATATATGATTTCGACACCATTTTATGTGTTTCTATTTGTGCTCCTCTATCATGTGACATCCATGTTCCTCAGGTCAAGAACCTGTGAACCTGTTGCGTGACGCATTGACTGAGCTGAAACTGGACGCAACTCCAATTTGTTAAACTTAAGGGTGTCTTCCTGCTCAGCCAGTGGATAACTTCTGCAAAACTTTTTTTGGGGGGGAGCCTGTGGGGGTGGTTAAACAGCAGCACGTGGAAAGAGGTTGACTTCTATTTTCCAGGGAAAGAGGGGGTCAGCCTTTGCTAGTTGTGTTTTCTTTGTTTGGCTCATTGGCATGATGTGGATGTGATGTGGCTCAAGTCAGTTAGATTGTGAGACTAAACCTATTGTTGTTGTTTTCCCCGGCCGGTGGCAGTTCTTTGTTTGCGATGTGCTAAGGGGGGGTTGATGTTGCATGATGTTATGCCTTGTTTATGTTTTGAGTTGTGGCCCTGTTGCTGATAAAGTTAAAGCCTCGCATTCAAGCTTTAGGCTTTAACCTCATTGTCTCTGCATGTTGTATAGAGGACTTGTTCAGCTTTGCACGCCACTGCATCAGGGCATGGAACGGGTGAAGCCGAACTGAACGACTGGATCATCGGAACCGCGCAGCAATAGGGGGGCAGGACCCAGGTATCAAATCGGCATTTCGGGTGTGGATTTGATAGGGGGACCCCCAATCAACAGGTAGACTGGTTTATCCCCTGAACCCGAACCCAGCACTCCCACATATGGCAGCACCGGCCGCATCTTGCCCATGCTGAGTGTGTACAGACCATCCGGGCACCAGTTGGTGGCGCTTCCAGTGAATCGCGTCGTGAACGTGCGAGGATTGAAACAGCAGCTGTATGGGTTTCTAGGCGTTCCACGATTCAGGCAAAAGATCCTCTATCAAAGCTTTGCGCTGGATGATGAGACTTGCTTTTACGCCGACTTGGACATTGAAGTGGTGGTGCTTGTCATGCCCTTTTGCACCTCGTCTCAAGAGCAAAGGCATCGCTTGCTGGATGCGGCGAGCGGCGGCAGTGTCTCCAAAGTGGAAGAGATGCTACAATGCTCACATGATCCAGATATGGTTGAGGATGGCGATACCGCTTTAGTTTTGGCATCACATGAAGGCCACGCGGAGGTGGTACGGTTGCTTTTGGAGGCCTGTGCTGGCGCGGACATCGCTGACGCACATGGAGCAACGCCCCTGATTTTAGCATCTGACGGAGGCTTTGCAGAGATTGTGCGCTCACTTTTGGGAGTTGAAGCTAGCTTAGACATCGCCGACACAGATGGCGACACAGCTTTAATTATAGCATCTGATTTTGGCTTTATTGAGGTTGTCCGTTTGCTGTTGGAGGCAAGAGCTGGCGTGGACATAGCGAACGAGGATGGCGATACAGCCTTACTCGTGGCATCCGAGAATGGGCATACGGAGGTTGTCTGTTCGCTGTTGGAGGCTAATGCTGTTGCAGACATAGCTGACACAGATGGTTTCACAGCTTTCCTGCATGCTTGCGTCCTTGGCCATGAAGAGGTTGCGAGGTTGCTGCTGTTTGCTGGGGCAGACAAGGAATTCGTGTGCGATGCAGGAACCATTCTCTACCACGCCTCTCGTGCTCGCCAATTCAACATAGTGCAGTTCTTGTTGAATGCCGGAGCTGACACGTTTCGACCGTACAGCCGCAAAGGCGAGCGCAATGGCAATGACGACCGTATTCAGCGGATCTCCCATCGAGCTGAGATCCATCAGAAACTCCTACTAGTTGTCGTGCTAATCATCAGCAAACCCCTTGATTTGATGTTTGAAATCTTCTGGATGTTGTTTGGGCGGCATTCCATGTTTGACCGTGTCGACGAGCAATGGTGGTTGATCTCAAGTATGATTTGCAGCAATGCTCTCCAATCTGATCCTGCTAGCTTCTGGAGTTTTTTCCGATGTGAATGGCAAGTTCTACGGCTCCTGTGGGAAGCAGTGACCAAAAGGGCTTCAAAAACCAGAGAGTTCCGCCACCTCGTCCCGGCCTAGTTCCCGGCCTGACCAACAGGCTTATCCTGACGATGGGGAAGTCGGGTGTACATGGGAACATGAGGTTTCTCAGAACCCGACTGTTCGAGACCTCCTGCTCCAGGGGTCCGGACCCTTCAAGCCCTCCCCCCCCAATGGAATATGACATGCGAACGGAGTGTTTGGCGAATATGACTACTCCATGGAACTTGGAATAGTTACTTACATTAGGGTCATGTTCGGTTTTCATGTATGGCGCCTATTCCAATCCCATGGATGGTTTGGGTGATGATCTAGAATGTGCCTCGAAGATTGAGGCCACATCGGTCGCTCTGGGTGAGTCATTCCGGTCAAGTTTGCAATCTAAACCTGTATGTGTACTGTATAATTGTATACAGTATGTATATATAGTTATGTGTATATATACCCATACATATATATATATGATATATGTTTTTGTTTACCCTCCAGTAATCAACCCTTAACCCAGCTTGAACTTGATGTCCTGAACAGTGCACTCCAAAAAGCAGTCCCTTCCCCCGACAAAAAAAAAAGAACACTTGCCGTAGAAAGTGCCGTAGAACCGTTGTTTTGTCAATCAACTATCTTTTTTTATTTTGGCGGCGCTCACGACGGTTTTGTGAATACACCCACAGCTTGTTAAGGACCACCAGACCAAACCTGAAGGAACGACACGTCATAGTCTGTTGAAGCGTAAAGCCCCCTTAAACAGCATCCAGCCCACGATTCTGGGCGGCAAAGAACGGACCGCTCTGAAGAAGAGAGGTTTCCGAGCCGAGATGTGGGTGTGGAATCGTATCAGGAGCATGGTGTAAGCTCTAAAGACACAGTACATGCTGCATGCTCTTTTGTTGTGCCTTTCCCATTGTTCTGGTGGATTTAGACTTTTGATTTCTTGGTGCAGTGGCTAGAGCTGCAGGATGGTGTGCCAGCGGGGGTTGTCCCTACCGAGGATGTGATGGGAGCCCTATGGGTATAGCCCTAACGATCCGGTACTTGGACCCTCCTGGCACCCACATAAGAGTGTCGAACACATCACCGTACCTGAGGTACCGTACGACTGGATCCCTAGGGATGCTTTGTGGTTGTGCTTCTCGCACTGAGGAAACTTACATGGGTGGCTTGGGCTCCTATTTGCTGCTCAGTACGCTGTTGGCGCGTGTGAGCGCTTGCTTGAGCGTCCAGCTTGGCGCGTCCAGCTTGGGGCGAAGGGGTGAGTGGACGAGATTGGAAGGAGCCGTCAGGTTTCACTGTCGAACATCATGAGTTTTGAGATGGATGGATGGATGGAAAGGCCTGCAAAGCTCACCCCATCATCCACTGGGTTCAGGGAGGTTGTATATAGACCCAGCAGGGATCACCCATTCGATGGCTCGGAATGCCGGTGGCTCAGTCCATCCCTTGATACGAATGGGTGTCTCCTGTGTCTCTGAAGACCCGTTTGGGCTCCGAACGGCCCACCTCCGTTTCGGTTCGATGGGACTGGGGTGGGTGGTCTTGGGGATCTAACACCACCGGTCACCTGAGGATATGGGACAGGAGCCCTAGGGATATATAATATGGCCCACCAGGGAATGTATGAATGGGTGGACCGTTTGCCGCCCCCCCTCTCAATACATGGTGCAGAATTGTTCATCCCCCTTGACCTGTTATTATCATGTCTTAATCTATTTGAACTTGCTCAATCACCCATTGATATTTTACATATTTAGTTATATATGTATATGTCTATTCTGATGTAAATTGTTATACGACTATTTGAATTTATGGGATCTTGTGATTATGTCATAAACATTGATATATACATTGTTTAAAAAGACAATAAATACCTAAATAACTATGTATATTACACACATATTGTTCAACCTATACTTTTCTTGAGATTACTAATTACAATAATTAGTTTTGGGCGGCTTCACACTGCCAACCAGATCTTTTTTCCTACAAGATTCTTGCACGGGTTGGTTCATTTGCAGAGCTTTTTCTGAGAAGTGGGATGACACCACCAAGCAGATGGGATGGAACATGACCATGGCCATGCCATCATGCCATGTGGTCTAGACATAACTAGACAAAAGTTGGCATCGAAATTGGCATGTGTACCTGTACCCCAGGTACCCTCCTGCAGAGGTGAGCTATGGAACCCCCAAGTCGGTCGAAACCACGGCGCGAGAAGTCTCAGGGTCCATGGTGCGTCGTACGCGGGGGTGGGGACGCTAAGCTGGTTGGGACCGTGACGGAACCATCCGCCAACCACCCCGTTGCTCAACGAGACGGGACGCGTGCGAACTCGGAGCTGTTGGTGTCCTAAAGCACTTGGCTATATTTGGATATATAGAGGCGGAAGGTGACGGACGGAACATCAATGGTTTACATGGGGTGGTCGGTTTGCAGCGAAGTCTCCCTACTGAGCCGTTCGAAGACCAGCCAAAACGGATTCGTGCACATGGTTTGAATGAGGCTTGTGTGCGTGGTGCTCTCCTTTCTGCAATTGCATCCTTCAGCTCAGCAGCAACGACTACACTCAGCAACTTGGTGCAACGACTTGACCGCTGCTCTCCTCGCATGAACCCAGCTTGGTCAAGGAACGCTCGCGAAGTCGCTCCCTATATGAAAAACACCCAGGATTAACATGGAACCTGATGGCATGGACCTTTGGAAGACTAGCTTCCACCAGTGGACTCGCAGGTTCCATGCTGGGATGCCTCTGAGGTCGTTCCCTCCAAACGGACTGGTCTTCACTCGCATGCCGAATCGGAATCCCATCATCCCATTTACCTATATATACCTAGAACCTGAACGACCTCTATATTGGACCACCAACCACCCAAAATATGGTCCAACTTCCTATCAAAACAGAGGTCAAATGGGTTCCAATTTATATATATACATTGACCCTCAAAACACTCCAATTGATCGGCATACATGGCATATGCGATCATATGCGCAGCATAGATATAGAGTCCAGGCATCACCGTTTTGCAGAACATATTCTTATTTTTCGTTTTCTTCTTCTTCTTGCAGAATTCCCCGTTTCTTCCACATCTCAAGCACTCGACTCTTCCATAGAGAAATCGGACATATCCCCTGTGGTTTTGTGTGTGTTTGTTTTTTCACACCAATCAGTTGTGCCTTCACCATCCTTCACACCTTAAAACCCTGGCGCATCTCCGGCCCGGCCTTGGTCGCTCGACCGTTCGGACCCTCCAAGGCTTCGACCTTGGGGAAGTTGTTGTTGGACTTCTTCCGCTACTATGGCCAGGACCGGGCCGGGGCAGTCGGTGGGTCTGCAGCCCAAGGTTCTCGGGCTGCTCGAGTCTTCCCTTTGGGTGGTTAGATCGATCTGTTCGGAAGAGGAGATGAATGCAAAGAGGGAGAGCACCAGCAGTGGATGTGTTTCAAGGGCGGGAATGTGAACTTAAAAACATGTTAAAGGCATTTAAATGGTATACACGGTATACATTGCATTTTTACTTACACTTTGGAGACCACCACCCCGCTTGAACTCCAATCCTTTGACCCTTTATGTAACGACCGTGCAATTAGTAAGTCGTTACATGATATTGCTTTTAGCGCAGCAGCAACAACCACCACATCGCCTTTGTGTGCCCCCATCATCTCCCAAACTCTCACACCCACCGTACTCGTACCTTTTTCGCGGCCCGTGCTGTTCGCTGCGCGGTCACCGCGTCAGGAGTTCCGCTACGCCACGCAGGGCATCAGCGTCCTGAACGGCGGCGCCCTCTTCGACCGGCAGCAGCGGGGCTTCACAGCGCGAACACGCACGGGGCAGGCGACGCTCTGCTTGGAGTCTCCCTCGGAGCCCAGCGGCTCGGCGGAGAGAGGGCGCCCTGGCGGTGCTTACAGAGGTCCGGTTTTTTTTTGCAGAACCCTATTAGTATAGACCATCCCATATATATAAGTATATATTTGTACCCCAGATTATGGGTCCTATAAGGTCACTGGACCTTTGTTTTTGCTTGTCCGAAATGTTTTCTGTGCCATGGAAGCACGTGCGCCATGAGTGGAAATGGTACTGGATTGTTTCATGATGTGTGCATCTATACACTTGCTTGTTACAGCCCATGCACCGCCATGAGTGGGGGGTGCTTTTCAACCCAGCACCACTTTTCGAAGCTGCTCAGGTGTTTCCTTTCTTTCCTTCTTGCCTTGCCTTACTCCGGCCCCCCCTAGCACCTTGGGATGTCTTCTTCCCCCTCTAGCCCCCGGAAGGTGGTGTCACTCGGTGTCGTTCCTGGTCACTCGGTGACCGGTTTCTTCTTCGGCCGATGGGGTGACCGGGCTGCGGCACCAGGCCTGGACATCGGGTCGCGGGTCTTTAAGATCGGCATCATCCGCGCGGCCTTCAACCACGGTGGCCTGGCCGAGCCGCTATAGCTCTTGGTGACGAAGAAGTGGGTTCTTGGTGACGTAGGTGGCAATGGCTACAAAGCGGGGCTCCTGGACTTACTAATTACTAGGAACAAGAAGCCACTAGGTGCAATCCCCCAAGTTAGTGTTTCTTTTTGGACAATCATCTGAAGGACATCGCTGGGGTGTCAGTGGCATCTACTCTGAAACCACTGTAAGTGACCTGACAAAGGCCCCGTCACCTGGGGTACCGAACTGGGATAGTCGAACAGTCGGGTTTTGAAAAACCTTTGCTGGTGGGACGTGAACCAAAAAAAACGGAGCGCCATGCAGGGGTGAGTGCCGCCTGTGCGGGTGAGTTGCCAAGGTCATGAGAAACTGTTGGAGAAATCGACTCCAGACCATCCATGGAATAGTTACCTATACATTGGGATCATAAATGGGGTACTAGATGTACGCAACTATTCAACACATTGGCCTAGGGTAGATGACAATCAAGGCCCCCAGACATGAACAAGCTCTTCGGGCTTGGGCAGGAGTCTGCGTTGGCGTTTTGCACTTCTCAGGCTTTACGCACAAAGTCCTCAAAAGTCGGCCATTCAAATTCACCCGAAATGAAACGAAGGAGCCATCATTAGGGCCTATGGCATTTTGGGGGCCCAAAACCATTCAATTTGAACTGCCTGAACTCCTTGGGTTCATTTGGATCCCTGTCTTTCGTCCGCCCACGGCCGCCCGTGGCGCGCGATCGCGATAGCCTCAGAGGCTATCACGTGCTCTCCACGTTGTTCCTCTCCAAGGCCCCAGGGCCACCCGGGAAGATTCTAGAGGTCCATGCCAGGTAGAACATGATAGCACCTTTGTAACAGTCAGTAAACAAGCAAATCACTAGTCTTGAGCAAGGCTTTGACTAACCATCATCATCCACTGTTACAGGCAGTGGGATAGACCCAAGTAGCACCATATGATCATCATTGTTTCATTTGTTTCATGTATATTTACTTGGGTCCCTGGTTTCATCATCCAACCAATATAGTAAAAGGCCGTTTAATGGAGACCCGTTTTAAAGCTGGACAGCATGGGGTGGAATTGAAGGCTGGCAGAATGAACTGTGTGGAGGGGTTCTAAAGGAGTTCCCCATCCATGAATGTTTGAATGGGTGAATGGGGCGGTAGTCTTCCACTGCTTCGATTTTTAGAAATCTACAACTGGAAGGGGAGAGGCTTGAAATTCCTACCGGTTGTTGATCTCAAGAACGTCCGGGCGGAGAACGACATCCATGTCATGGCAGGAGCCCATTCCGGGCTCCTTGCTGTGTCCCTATTTGCTGCGGCGCGACCACCCACTGATCGCACAGCGCTTCCGCCTATTCAACGAGCAGCCGGCTCCCTTCTTGGAGCCTCGGCAGATGGCAGTTGGTGTTTTGTAGGTGTTTTGTTCAGGTCCTGGCACTATTCCTGTTATATAATCAGATATTGAGAACCATTGATCGCTCAGTTGGCAAGTGTTGAGCATAGTTGAAATGTTGTTACTTGACTATGAAGTAACAATTGGTATCTTCCCGCGTCTAAGTAGAGACTCTCTTTTAATCTTTTCTAGTTGGTTAGTTTACGGTGATTAGTACAGCGCATTGGTTTGTAGTCAAGGGTTTTGGTCCATTGAGTAGATGAGGCTCACCAGACTGCCAGGATCGTTATGCGTCCTACCGGCTCCGTTTGATGGTTGCTCAGGTTAAAACCATTGAAGCTGCACTTCCCAAGTTTTGTGTGTTTTTTTTGAAAGCAATTCAGCGCCTAGCTTTGTTGAAGCTGTACTTCCCAATGTCACGTGATTGAGCACCTAACAGCTTCGCACCACCCATCTCCTCATTTCTCCTTTTGTGCCAGTGCTCTCTCCACCTGCATTGGGCAGTTTCCCCTTGTCAGGTGTGCCAAGGCAGATAGAAGATGGTCCCAGACAGTTTGGATTTCTGATGTGTCCTATGTGCAGTAACCTACCCAGCTCCAGATCCAATCACTGCTTTGCTGGACCATGGATGGATTTTTTCTTTCTCTGAATGCCTTGACAATCCCTTGTGCCTGAACTTTGCGCATTCCGGATCCGATGCATCATAGTTATTTTACCAACAAAAAGTCCCAAGATGCCTCATATGGAACATCACACGCTGGCTTGAAACCGCCACAATGCTTCACTACCCAAACTGGTTTGCCCCAACGTCCGGACGGTCGGCCTCCCCTCCGGCGCCGAGGAGTTGGTGGGTCGCCCCGAGAGCGACGAGGAGCGGGAGAAGGGCCCTGCGGAGCCGATCATGAAGAAGAAGAAGTTGGACACGGCGCCGCTGAACATCAATGTGGCCATGGAGGAGAGAGAGAGAGAGAGAGAGAGACGTAGGACGTATACAGTATACACTCAGCTTTTTTTGTGGGGGGGGTCGGGGGCGGTGGGATCGGAAGAAGAGCTTATTGAAAAAAAAACACGTGGTGAAGGGGGAGGAAAGGGGGGGAGAAGGGGGAAGCGAATTGACTCGTTGTTCACCCGACATGGTGTTTATCAGGATGTCGTTGAAGCCACGATCAGCAAAGTGAAGCTACAAGCCTCAGAGGGTCAGATCGAAAAGGGAGTTTAATTACAGAGAGCCACTCCCAAAAGCCCCTGGATTGCATTTATGGATGATTTGATGTTCTTTGTGTGTTTTTCATCATGAACGCACCAGAGATGGTTTGACCTCCGAAAAGGGATGGTTGAGACCTGGTTGAGAGTAAAGACACAAGATGTTGGGATGTGTTTGTCCTGTTGGGCGGGGACTTCGTCCCAGTATCCATCAACCCAATTGATGCTGATCACCTCCACCATACGGTGGCACAATACAAGAGAGAGAGAGAGAGGCAGAGCACGCGGAAAAGATCAACTGAGCGAGAGAGAGAGAGAGAGAGCCATGGGATTTGCTTTACCCTCATGGCATCTCATGGCATCTCATGGCTCATCATGGCTCATGGCCTTCCCTTTTCCCTAGGGTTCCAAGTACCTTCTCAGGTACGGTGATTGGAGACACTCTTATGTAGGTTTTGAGGGTCCAGTCGTACCTTCTGAGCTTCGGTACGACTGGATCCCTAGGGTTTCACGACGCCATTGGCGCCGACAGGAGCCTGTGCCGGACCCCATGGCCGAGAGTCTGACACAAGCCTTAGATCCTCGAATCCAACGACGCGACGTGTGAGGGAGGTGCCCAGCCCCGGCCCGGGTGCTGGGAAGAACGGTTCGCATTCCAGGTGTGGAGATCGACTGGCGGAAGTGGAGATGCATAGGTCTCCCTTTCGGGGCCATCCACGGAACGATGACTTTAGGGAGTGTACTGAGGCTTATGCTTTGGAGTGTGAGAGCCGGATCCAATACTTGTAGGTCAGTTCGCGATGTTCAAAGCCCGCCCTTTCAGAAGCAGGCTGTGAACTTTGGCGTTCAATGGGTTCAACAACATGTCCTCCCCAAATCTCCCAAACATGTTTATCCTTTTGTCAGCCTGCTTTTTGCCATTTTGTATTTACATTGGGGTAGTTTGAGGAGTCAATGCAGCTAAATATTCCGCAACACTCCATGTATGTCATTTATTTGCCTACATTCTTGGGGTGGTTTCTTGGACCCTCCAAAAAATCCAACAGAGGTTGAAGAACCCTAGTTCGACTATCCCATAGGTACCCCAGATTACGTGTCCTAGTTACTCCTAGTTCAGGTCACTTAGCCTGGAACACATAGCGTGCCTGGTCGCCTCAAAACCGGGCGGTTTCCGTCCAGGCTCTTGGGATCGGCTCAGTTGGGTCGCTTTTGGGACGATGGACGCTTGATGGGGTCGGTCTAAGATCGATCGGTGAATGCGGCGGATCGATGGTTGAAAATCAAGAAGTGGATGGCTTGGGATGCAATCCTGATATGAGGATGTTTTTGGATGTGGCACCAGTTTTTGAAAGTTATTTGTTCTTGTTGTACTATTAGATCAGATTCCTTCCAACATGTTCTTCTTGACCCAAGAGCCGAGTTTCACCTGAAATATGGGCTGGTCCGGGGTGTTTGCTTCGGCCCATCCGGATGTGCCACCCAAGGACTTCCTGGCGGCCGCCGATCCGCGCTTGGCGCAAGACGACCCTTATGGCCAGGCCGGAACCGGATATCTCGGTGGTGCCGGAAGCAGAGGTGTGGCAGAGGTATGGGCGGCACCGAAGTACGGTATTAAGAAATCATTTGAATACAAAACAAACAACATAATAAGATCATATAAGATCAATATTGCAGAGGTTGTAGACATGCAGACATGCTTGTAGCAGGGGTTGTTGAGACATGAATTTCATTTCGGATATGTGCGTGTGTCCTCATAAAGCTTGGGATGTGTGGGCTGTGCCCGGCTGACAGCCAGGGTGTTTGTGATTTGCACTGGGCTACGAGAAAGAAAAACACTGAGGATGCAACCAATGCCATCGCGAACCTCACATAGATGGTCCCCACAAAACAAGTGTGTGTACGCTTACACGGCTTACACCTGATGGTTTTCTTCAGGTCCATGTTCAAGTTCTATGTTTATTTATAGTGGGTTGAGAGTAGATTGCACAGACCCTAATGTCGGTGGTTTATATGAACCCCCCATGTCAAGGATCGAGCCTTTGAAACCACTGTAGGCAAATCTTGATTGACAAAACCCACGGTGTGAAGACGACATGTCCCGGACGTGCGAGAAGGCTCTGACTCCTGCGCTCCCTTGTCCAAGCCCTCCCTGGCTTATTCTAATGGTGATCATATAAATCCAGAGTCTTAGCTTATGTTGGATGATGTGTTGATCCCAATAGGTTGATCGCAATAGTTGATCGCTTCTGTCGTCATCATTGTTTGATATTATTGGATAACATTCAGCCCATGACGCCAAGTGATGCTGTTTGAAGGGATGTTTCGTCCGAAGGCGGCCCAAGCCCAGGACCATACACACAATCGTAGACGGTCTAGTCACAGATGGTGGGTGTCTTCCAAATAGGAATTGGGTGTATGAAGGTACCAGATAGTGGGTGTATGAAGGAACTGGCTGTATTCTGGTGTCTTTCAGAATAGGAAGGTACCAGAAAAATACATTCTTGGGTTATCTCCCACAGGCAATTGTTGATAAACCCTACGAACAACCCACCCTGCTAAACATGTGTTTCAGGTGCATCATAGATTTTGGGTGGCCGACAGACGGTGGTCCTGGACTGGTCGATGGCCCTAAACAACTATACTGGTTGGTTGATTTATGGCAAGGGATATCCCGAAGTTACAACCAACAAGATCCAATAGCAAATATATGGCACTGAATGGCATTTCTGCAGCCATTGTTCACGCCAGTCGCCTATATATCTATAGTAATGTGCTACCTGGCATCGACGCCCTCGATTCTTCCCAAAACGAGACGGTTGGAGCGACACGGGCAGCGACCACGGGACTTCCCCCAACCCCGCCAGCTCTAGTGATGCAGATCTTTCTTCGCATGTGTTGTCCCTCAAATGGTCATCTACAGATTGTTGAACGTTGTATTTGTGTTCTGGACATCATCATTGGTAGATGCTCGAAAAGGACCTCATGGTCCTGGCCTCGTTTGGGAAGAATCTCTTTTCAGAAACCGCATCTTCCATCGGCTTCCAGGCCGAAGCCGACTTTGAGGACCCGACACCGCCGAAGCGAAGAGACCGTTGACATGCTTTCAGTCACACTCCCTATCAGGGCTCCAGCCGTACCTGCAGAGTGCAGAGGAGGTATGACTGGACCCGACCCTGGCACCTGGGCCCCGGTCGTCCCACCGAAATGAAACGAAGATGCGACGCCTGAGCCCGTCGACGGGCCTGGAAATCAGAAGTGAAGTTCACCCCCTCTTGGTCTTTGGTCCGGCATTCCTCAGGCATTTCCGGAAGTTTCAAGCTTTCCTCACGCCCATCATGACCATGGAAGTGGAAAAACCCCATGCGTGGAACCCATCTGTCACATCCCAACGTCGTAGCCCGAAGTCTGATAGAAAAAACTGCTCTTTGCATCACAACCGTTGGTCTACATCGCAGGCATGCCCGATCCTGGATTCGGGGCACACATGCTAACTGCGTGCCTGCTATAACCCCTTACTTGTTTTTTTTACTTTTTTTTTTCGTGGACTGTGTCGTTGCAGGAGTTATCACCCACTGAGTGTTCTTTTTGGCCACTGAGTGTTCGCCCAAACATGTCCCAAGTCATTTGAAGAGGTCAGCGGGGCCAATGGATTCTCAGGTTCCCGACTGCAGAAGTGCCGCACAAACCGTTTTTTCTAGTCTAGAGCGGCCCCAGCCATGCGAAAAACCGGCACAGGAACAAACATCACCCTCGCCGGTTCTCCGTTAAGAAAATGATCCAGAAAGACCTCAAAGACCTCCATCGCCTCAGGTTCTTCCAAGAGAGGTTAAGTAACCTGAACTAGGACCCGTAATCTATAGGTACCTATGGGATAGCCTATAGGGTCCTTCAACCTCTGTTGGTGTTTCAAGAAGCAATCCTTCTATAGCTCCTCCGGCCCACGCTCACGCGTGCCCGCGGGCCGCCGTCACACGAGCGGTCGGGAACCACGCCCTCCTCGCTCGTGCAGGAGAGCCTCCTGGACCTGGACCCGGCAGTCTTGGCCGAAGAGCAGCGGAAGCTTCAAGAGCAGATCGCACGTCTGGAGGCCCTGGGCGTCGATGAGGACCTTTGAACGGAGGCCGGGAGCGCGCGCGATTGGCGTGGCAGAGGGGTGTTCGTGAAGGCCATGTGGAGCGCTGTGCGGGCGGAGGTGTTCTTTTGAGATGTGATTGATACTACTACCAGCACCTTCCAACAGGTTTGCTTTGGAGGCTTTATTTCAGAGAGGAGGAGTCCAACATTCTGGGAAAAAGGAGGACGGAACTTGGAGGCAAAGATCGAGGGGTGATGTGGTGTTCTCTTTTCCTGGCGAAAGGGGAGACTTCTTTTGCGTGGAGGGCTTGAAAGATCCAATAACTCGCAAGTGTATACCAATGTATCAAGCAAAGGGTGACGGTCAGATCAGGGAAGCTTCAGGAGCCTCGGCTTCCGCATCACGCCTTCAGCATCCTGACTGCTGTAAAAACTCTCGTGTCCGCTTCACATGCGGCAAAAGCCAACAGCACGAGCATTCGCGTGAAAGCGGCACGAGTAGAGCCAAAAAGACCCAGTACAAACATGTACTGCGTGGGTCTTGGTGTGGTTAAATCATCCTTAGGGCTCCTGTCCCATATCCTCAGGTTCGGTGGTGTTCGACCCCCCCTGGCACCCACCCCCGTCCCATCGAACCGAAACGGAGGTGGGCTGTTCGGAGCCCTAACGGGCATGTGAAAGGCAAGGCCCTTGCTGCAACACCTGCTTGAGCGACAGGTCGGGTTTTTAGCCATGCGACCATTTAAGAGATCAGTATGAAGCAGATATCATCAGATACAGTCCTTCAAGCCGGAATGCCTCCAGCACATGTGACAAATTTCAGATTTCCTTCAAGTTCTCCTGGTGTCGCGTCCTTCAGGTGCCTGGCATGTCCTGGTGTCGCGGCTCTTGTGAGGCTTCGGTGATGAAAGCTGAAGGATTCATCGACCAAAAAGGGGCGGCAGACGCCGATGGCCGGTCCGGTCCAGACGGAGTTTGTTGTTGGCAGATCCTACGTGATGGGTGCGGGAATGACACCGAGGCCTCGTTTGTTGATATCATTACTGTAACCCTTTCATCCCCTCATTCCTTTTGAAGCACCAGTTAGATTTTTCAGCTTTGATGCCAAATGGTCTCCAAAGTTCATCACCCAAAGGGGCGGCATCGCAGGGCTTAAGTTATCTTAAGTCCTGCGCTGTGCTCGCAACGAAAAAAGATGAATGACTTTGATCGCACAGTGGTGGAGTCCTTTAAACGATGGTTCCTTCCTGGTTCGGATTTTGGGGGAGCCATTTGGCGCTGGCGCCTCAGCGTCTTCGCTTCGCTTCTCGCTCTCTCTGCACGTCGTCGACTCGATGTCGAAGTTCCCCAGGGCCCAGGAAGGTCGACCTTTTCAGTCCCACGAGCTGTTTAGGACTACACTCCCTCTAGAACGGCCCCATGGATACGTGGAGAATGGCCTGGACCCCGAGTTCGGAAGACCATGGTCACTCCACTAGAAACAGCTGGTCCACGTAACCATGTGAGTTCCAGGGAGAGTATCCAATTCAAATAGGCGGGCTGATGAATCAAGGGGCATTTTCTATGCCGCCCCTGGCCTTGGCCTGTCAAACCACTCCAACTGATCGACAAATGTTCCAGTCCCATGGATGGCGTGGGAGAGTTGTTGTTTTCCCTGTTCCGGTGGTCATGAATGTAGACTGATTACTGGAAGCATTCCCAGACATGGATACCTCTTCAGGCCTGGGAAGGGGGTTAATAGAGTCTATAGATGACCGGTTTTGGGATGTTCCCCTCGAATGTGCGCTCATAGCCTCCCCAGGAAGCCAAAGCACAGGCCTCTTTCGCGGCACTGAAGGTGTCTCGGTCTCGCTCGTTTGCTTGGCAAAAAGGGTTTGAAGTACTGCCCAGACGCGACCCTGGGCTCTCATATGGAAGGGTCGGACCCGAATCCTCGGGTCAGGGTCTGGGGTCGAACCAATCCCTAGGTTTTGAGGGACCAGTCGGGCTGTTTGGAGCGTCTGGCTGGGATTTGCAGACAGAAGTTTCAGGGCTACAGAAGACACGTGAGCTTTTCCAGACCATGCACTGACGAAGTTCGCTGTTGGAGAACGTGTTCATGACGTTTCTGTCTATATTTTGAGGCCAGGAGTCCAGGAGACTTATTTTCACAAACTACGCTCCCTGAAATATCCATAGATGGAGGTGAAAAAATAACATGTTGTTTGTAGAGGGAAAAAACTAGGTGATGGTTTCGGATATGTTTATTTTCAACCCTTACTTGGGGATGATTCTGACTAATATGTTTCAAGTGGGTTGAAGACACCAACCAGAAAAGTGTTCATCCAAGAAGGGCCTTTATACACCATGGTTTCACTATGGGCATCCCGTCGAGTGCACGACGTCTCCGACGTGACGTCCGGTCGACGGGACGACGCCATACGCGCGGTGGAAGCTTCTCTCTTTAAGGACTCCCAGACGGGTGAAGGGTGGTTTGAGAGCTGGAGACGGTGGGACAGAGGTCGCTGTGGTACTGGGGGCATATATCATTGACATGCCTTTCAGAGTCTTATATAACTTCAGGTCCGAGGTGTCCAGTGTCCACATATTCCAAACTACCCTTGTGGATGGCTTTTTGCATCCTTTTACTATTGATTGGTTGATGAATAGAGGGTGAACATTCAATAGGTATATGGTACCAAATCACCCCTCTATTTTTCTCAAAAGGACATCACTGCCCTATTCATTAGTGAGTGTGAGTCAGGCAGGATCATGATGGGGTCATGTTTTCAGGGACGACTGCAGCCAATTCCATCGACCCTCCCTCCCTCCCACGGCTCCCGTATCGTATCCTGCGACCCCATGACCCCATGACCAACACGACCCGGCGCATGACCCCGCGCAGTGATCGATCGAGGCGAAGGACTCCCCTGTGGTGGTGAACATCCGCTATGGCAAGAGGACGGACGGTGAAGTACTCAGCCATGGCACCCGGGTCCCCCAAAACTGAACTAACACTCACTGACTGGCTTGTGTGATTAGTGGCTTCATGGCACCCTGACCCCTGGTAGCTTGACCCGTAGGTCGTCTATTCAGTTCTTGTTCGGTGGGAAGAATCAGGGGAAGAACCCGGTGAGTAACACGTCGCCACAAAGAAATGCGCCGGCCGGGTACGTGAATGACACCCTGTTTTGGAGGACCAGCCACTTCAAGTGCTTTCACTGAGCCCAGACACGACAAATGGTACTGATATATGTATGCCTATTGTATACACTGACCCCCCCAAACCACCAATGTAGGCACATTCTTTTAACTTTAACCATGGGGTCTGTCAGGTGTTTCTTTTACCCTTGGGAGGTGTCCGGGGTGGTTTGCACCAGTGATGCGTGACCTCTGGAGGTTGCGATGTTCCAGATCCCCGGAGAAGAACCACCGTGCATTGCTGGTGCGGAGGATCTTAGGGAGCTACCCTCCGACCGACACATCGGTTTGTGGCTGGACCCTCGGACGATGTTCCGGTTCTTTCCTTCTTCATGAACAGGGTGGGCCATCCACGGAACCATGTGAATCATGTGATGTTTGTCTACATTGAAACAGCAGGAAGGGCAGGAAGGAATCCATGTGTGTTTGTCAGAGTTACATTGGAACGGCAAGAAGGGCAGGCCCTACAAGTTGGGTCACAGTGGTTTCCCGCCTGCGGGGGGGCTTCAAGAGGTGGGTTCCACCGGTGATGCTCCGCCCATGTTTTGATCGGAACGTGTTCACCAGAGTTGCCCGCATGACGAAAACACTGGAGGGACGAAAAACAATGAGGCGCCATTTTTCTGGGCTTCCTCAACCTCCGCATGGCTTGGTGCGTCGGATTCATGACATGTTTGACATGCCAGGATTGCACCCATCGTGCTGCCGCGTGAGCCGAAGGCGGCCCATGGGAGTAGCAGTGGGTGGTCCAGCTTAGCGCCGATGTATCGTATTCTACCTGGACCTTCCAAGGGTGTCCAATGGCATTCCCATGCATTCCCTAAGCTGGTATTAGATTTTCTTGCTCCACCACTGTCCTGTCACGCACTGCCTTGGACAAGTGGACAGAACCAGACCACTGGAGCCAGACATAGAAACAGCCAGACCACTGGATCCAGGGGGCGCGATCCGGCACGCTGGGTATGCTCGAGCTCCTTGCAGATGACAGCAAGACTCAAGGTTCAGCATGTTCAGCTGTCGTAGAGATCACTGTCATCCCAATTGTTTACATCAAATTTACATCAACGATGGCAATGGTGTCCTTTTTTTGAGTCACTGAGGACGTAACTCAAGCGGCAGGAATTTTGGAAGGAGCTGGCCCTTCAGGGTAGTCCAGGCCCTTGGTTTCCCGAGGACCAACGATCGGTGCATCTAGACTTCCCACCCATTTGAGGAGAAGTTCGAACATCAAATGCGACTGATAGTGGCTGGCAGTGACTGGTAGTGGTGGTGTCATATGAGTTTCAGCATTTTCCTCCCGGTCAGCCTCTCTGAGGTCAGCGTGGCAGTTGGAGGCCTCAGTTGGCGCTCAAAACGCGCGCGACGTTGAGACCCCCGGATTCGTCTCGGTTGGTTGGTGGACGAATCGATAGGAGTGTGTCTTTCGATTGTTTGGACCCCCGGGATGCAAAAAAAGATCAACAATAAATAAGTTCCCTAAGAATGTATGGTAAAGCGTTTCTATATACTGCATAATATAGAATTCTATATATTATATAATATTGTTTGAACATGGTTTAGTTCCTACTGTTTCGCACACAAGTGCACGCGTGCCCGTGTCTTTTTTTGTTGCGCATGCACTATTGTCTAACAGAGACTCGAGGTGTCCTGGAATGGAACATCGAACTATATAAATCACCAATATAGTTGAACTAAATCACCAATGGAACTAAAGTTCAACCAAATGGAACAAAATCACCAATGGAACTAAATCACCGTGGAAAATGGAACAACTGTTTCTGGACCTTTTCTCCCTGATCGGTGACAAGGGATCAGATATGATTCTCGAGGACTGTTTGCACTTGCTTCGAGGTTCAGACAATGGCAGCCATGTGTGTTTCAAAGGTTTCTTTGGGTTGCTGATTGACCCATGGCCAGCGATAGTAGGAACAAAGGCGGCGCAACTCCCATGCAATGCATGGATGAGCCAGCCTTACTTAGGCACCGAAACTGCACGCATTTAGCAAGCAAGTCTATGTCACAGACTTCCAGTGATCGATCCTTCTCAATCCGGAATTCCAAGCTCAGGGCAGGCTGCAGACTGTCTGAATATTTCTGAGGGGTCTTTCGAGATGATTTGAGGACGTATGGCTCACCGAGCGAGCCCACCAGATGGATTGCTTTCAATGGACTCCCGGACGGTCAGCGACCACAGTGTCCACTGGGAGCTGTGCCACCGATTTTCCACATCGGTGTTTTTTTTCCCAAACGCTCCATGGGACCGCCATAGATGCCGATCAGTTGGGGTGGTTTCAGGGGGGGTCAATGTAGGCATATATTGCAATCCCATGGAGTGTTTGGGTTTGTTTCTTTGTGGCCATATTATGATATCCTATAATTACGACCCGCAGCTAAAGGGTGGTTCATGGACACTCCTTTAACATCACAGCTTAGCTAAGGGGCTATAAATAGACACTGCGAGTTCGGAGGGTCCTGGTATGTATTGCCGTATATATTACAGTATGCGCTTCTTTGCTATTCACATGAAACGACCCTCCTCCCTGGGTGAGTGGGAGGTGGATCCTGCGAGGCTCGCAGTGTTTTGATCCCGCTCGTTCACTGAGGCCGTGTTGAGCTCTTTCTCCTTCCGGCTTTGTGCCTCTCAGCAGTGGCCGCGCTGTGCAGCCTGCCGACGCTCAGCTGTGGGTGTTGTTTTGGGGGTAGAATTGGGAGCCCAATAGCCAAGACGGAGCATGCTGGTGTACATGATGAATAGACCAGCGAAATCAGGCTCCTTTACCGAATGGCTACTTCTGTATCAAGAAGACGTAGCCAAACAAAACTACAGCTGGGGCTTGGCGGAAATCTTGCATGACTTGCCTTGTCAAGCTTTTAAAGCTGTTTGAGTGTAGGGTTTGGGCCTGATTTTCTCCACTGCCGATGGCGTAAGCAATTCGATCATTTTCCACATCAAAGCGACTCTTTACAAATGCAGATGCGGAGATGTAGGCTGTGGGCAAGCAACACATCCATACTAGTTTTTGGACATCATGTTTTCATGATGAGTTCCCTTCCTCCGGCACTTTCCCACAGACCCGCCTTCATCCGCTGTGCTGCTCTCGCGGACCGCGCGGATGACACCAAGACCTGGCACGTCACGTTCGGGTCGCGCTCAGGACGTTTGCAACACTGCGCCAAGCACTTGGAGCAGCTGCAGGAGATCTTGCTTCCAGCAGCCATGGGCCCAGTCTACACGGCCTAGTCATATTGACCGTCTCCGCGGGAGGCTCCCCGATCCATCCTGGTATCTCTACAGTCTCAGCGACAGGAGACAGCCCACCGAAGGGCTGGTTGTGGGTCCCAGTTGTGGGTGGGAGTTTGTTAGTTCCAGGGAGTAACAAAGACCTTGCCCGGTGACCAGGATATCCAGTTGCCAGAGTCACTATACCAGTATGTTCCAGAGGAATCTGTAGACTGACCCTGCGCCTTTGAGGACTTTGGTTGCCACGGCGAAACTGATCCTTCGATATGACCCCAGATCCAAGAAGGGGCCCAAGGACTCTTTGGCGAGCCGCTGTGGCCCATCAGTATGGATCAATGATCAAGTGTTACTCTCCCTGGAACTAACATGGAAGTGGGAAAGCACCTGTTTGTAGTGGAAGATGGTCTTCCTTTCAGGGCTAAACTAACACGGAAGTGGAGTTCACCACCTGTTTGTAGTGGAAGATGGTCTTCCGAACTCGGGGCTAGTCTCCACTTCCATGTTAGTTTTTGGGAGTGTAGTACTTTTTTGGGGTTCTGTACCTCAAACTGCACGGATTGATCGAAACCAGCAGGTCTGGGAGATCTCGAGAACATGCCGAACACGGACAGGTGAGGTTTTTCTTCGGTTCTCACAAGCACCGGTCCGTTCATACTTGGTGGGTCGTTGTTAACGCATGGGACATGCAGAATATGGGCTTTGACAGGAAAGAGGCGCTGGTCCACTTCTGTTGGAGGGTAGTCCAGAATTCATGGCCATGTTCCTGCTTAATTAGGAACATGTGAGAACGATAGAGGAGTTCACTGGTTATCCAGACTTTCGAATTGATTTGGGCGGATGGTACCCACAGACAGTGCCCACAGACAGTCCCCAGGCAAGTGTTGTTTGGACACGTTTCTATCCGACTGCCTAAGGATCGGGCACTGGAGCTGAGGTGATTCGGACCCTCCCCGTCTGGTTCGGCTTGGCCGCTGAGGTGATTCCGGCCGGCACCTGCAGCTTGCAGCTTTGGCAGGGCCTTGCACAGGTGTGCTTCGACGAGGCGCGCCCGCGCCTCCGGTCCGGGTGCAAGGATGACGGTGCGGTTCCCAATTTGACGAAACTCACAAGCAGGTCAATGCTGCGGGCGGGCAGTTTTTGAACCTCTTGGCCTAGCAATCCTCATTGCATTTGCTGTAGGTCTTGTTTCAATTCCCTAGGGCCCTAGGGATCCAGTCGTACCTTCTCAGACATGGAGAGCATCATGTATTGTTCTATACAGGGGGCCAGGGTGTGGACTTTCCGAGAACTACGTGTTATTGTGTTTAATGCAATGAGTACTGATGCTCGATTTGGGCAAATGAGCCCTTTTTGAATTGGGACTCGCTTTTTGAAGTGTTTGTGGCCTGTAGTTACCAGGGCAAAAGCAACAGTGGTAGGAATCATATCTTGGAGTGCTTCTAGATTGATTCATTTGAATTCATTTGAGTGCTTCATTTGAGGGCTTGAAGTGGTTTGAACAGATTGTTGTGTATTTTGTTGATTTGGGGTGTGATTTGTTGGGATATCGAAGGAGGCACCGCCCTCATGCCCGAGGGTGTAAAGAGGTTGGTCAAGTGTATTTTGTACCTGGCATATGCTTGGCGGTGGATGTAACGTTTTATTTGTTATTACATGTTATTATCATTGTTGGTGTGGTGTATTTGTGTTTTGTCTTTGTTCAGATTGCTTGCACTTTACTATACACACTGGAAAAACAAACAATCAAATGTATATAACGATGTCATGGTGACATCGTGATCCTATACCTAACTGTTTTTGAGAACTAACTGGTCGTCTCCTACATCCACCATCATCCAAACCAGTCTTTGACCATGGCCCTCCATCCCCGGTCATCGGAGATGAATGGATGGCTTTGGCACTGACCCCACCAGCGCTCAGGCGATCCAGGATCCATGGTCATGGTCCCCAGTCATTCGGGTCCTTTTCACGAAAGGTCGCCTCAGGCTACCTGAGTTCTCCTTGCTTTAGCACACATGTATTACAATCAGGACTTGGTGCTGTGCCTAGAGGTTGGTCCTGTAAGAAGGGATTCTATTCGACAGGGCGCCCCCCTGCTGGATCATTCCCCCCCCTGCACCGTCGCTGTTTGGGTCACATCCATCCACCTTTGACGCCGTCATGGACTTCTACCAGGGTTACTTGTGATTGCCTGCTACCTTTTTGTTCACCCCCTCCTCTCTCAAGTTCAGGTCACTGGCTACCTCTCTTGGAGTTCGTAAGAGGCAATCCAAGGTGACCATGACTGTTGGAATCGGTGCAAACTCCTAGTGACTTCATTTGGTGCCACAATGTGCCTCACAAATGCTCAAAGATCTTTAGGACCTGAACGACTTGGAGACCTTCTCCAGCGCGGCCTGTGTGGCCAAGGCGCGACACAGAGATGTGAGCCAGTGACACAGAGCTCAGATTCGTGAACACAAAGCTCCATTGGCATCCATTTCCCTAGGGCTCCAGTCGGACCTTCTTAGAAGGTGTTTGGGGTGGGTTTAGAGGGTCCAAATACCTTCTAAGGAGGTACTTGGAGCCCTAGGGTTTGTAAAGAGTCCAAATATCATGATTTTCGAGGCTCATCCTTGTGGAAGAGCTCACACAACCAAGGCACGGAAGGTCCGCTCCAACTCCAAGACTCCAAGACTCGGGCGCCACGTGCTGCAACACCCATCCACCCGCCCAGGTGGATCCCAAGTGTCCTCCCTGCCTGCCAGGGTCGGGGCCCTGGACGTTTCGTTAATCCCTTGTGTGTGTCGTTGAGTAGGGTGGACAAACCCATGATGGCAATGAACAGAGTTCGCCTTCGGGTGATTCAGAGATTCCTGGAGTGCCCAGTCCGTACCGATTCGGTATCCGAATGATAGAAGTTCATAGGCCTCACATCACCGCCGGCCGTAACGGACTGCAGATACCTCAGGCAAATCGCGTGTAGGTCGTGATATGAGTTCATAGGAGGTAAAGAGATGGGGTGGGGATCCAGCCCATTCGTGGGGCCCATGGTTCGTTTGATGATCCGTCCAAGGTGAAGGGACTTCATTTGGTCCATCTAGTCACTAACCCTCCAAGCCACAATATCCATCCAAGTCCCCGAAATGGCACTTGACTCCTTTGATTCCTCCAATTGCTGAGTCACACCAAGGTTGAAAGAGCAGACCGGATTAGATCCTATTCAAACCATGGATACTTTTGGATCTGGGGGTAGCTAATGGTAGCTATAGGTGAAGATGCTGCAGCTTTGGGCTCGTGACTGCGTGACTGCCAAAGTCAGAAGAACTCATTGCTTTCGATAAATGACTCTTGGACCAGAATGGGTGGCTGACCAAACTTGGGCGCTCAATGGATGGGCCATGCACCAAACTACACCATGGATGGCATGGGGTCACGCCAATTGGCGGAGACCGGGTGGTCGCCGGTCATGCCAGACGGAGACCAGGTGGTGCTCCATTTTCTCAAGCTATTCTTCAATTAGTGATCAAGCTCCACCGGACCCAGTTTCCCTTTTCTCGACGTTGGAATCAAGGTTGAGCTGCTGATTTCTGGGGAGGGAGCGGAAGCTATACACTGCCTGAATCATCATGGTTCTTCTGGGATGACTATGAACTAAGTTCATTTTGATAAACCGATGGTTTAGACTTCCATGATTCCTTCAAGGAGTGTATACAGTACACGTTCACCACTTGCGTCGATCCAGGCCTCGACTCCACTCAACTCGAAGGATCTGGAGGCTTTCTGGGGATTGTTCACTGCTTCTCGCATGTTTCTTGGGAGGATAGATCATGATAGATCTCCCCTTAGAGCAGTGGTAGTGGTTCTCTCACACGATGGCAAAACAGTCACAGGTCAGTTTCTGCACGGCCATGGTGCCATAGATCTTAGCGTTCGGCCCATGGTCTGTCGGGTCACGTTCGGCCCTCCAGGCGTCTATCGTCGATCAATTCGTCGGCTGAGTCGGCGCTCGCGAAGCTACGAAGCAGAGCGAACCTGTTTTTCGCACTGCGTTCGAAAAAACCGAAGCCCCATGTTTGTGTGAGAGAGCGTCGAGCAGATGTTTTTCCACAGATTTCTCGTCGTGCTCCGCTTTGGACCACTTATCGAGATCTGCCTGGACAGTTGAACACATGTGAAGCGCCCAAAGACCACTGAATGTTTGTTTGTGTGGCGTGCTTTTCCTCTCGAAGTGTGCCTGGCTCTAAGGAAGTTGTCATTCGCAGTGGCCTCCTGGCAGCTTCAGTGAATGTCGTCCAAAGAGGTTGGTCGAAAGGAGCTGGGATGTGTTTAGCTACAGCTATAGGCCAATATAGACGTATAGTGACTATAGGTTGTACATAGAATAGAGAGGGCCCCCAACCAACAGGACTTTCCTTTACAAAGTGTATGAAACTGATGTTTCCCAGACCGTCCATGTAAGGAGTAGTTACCTACATCTACCCCATGAAAAAGACCCCAATGTAAGTAACTATTCCAGTCCCATGGAGTGTTTGGGTTTGGTGGTTGATGGGAGTCTCACCTGGCCACCGGTTCCAAAAAGAGTGTAGTAAAACAGCTCAGCCCGCAGGAGGTGTGACAACTGAGGAAGATTGGGGTCGGGAACAAAACCATGTTCCAGGCAGAGTATAAATTGTCTACCAAAAAACATATATATATATATATACCAATATACATACGTATAGTTACATGCGTTAGCTACATGTTTAGCTGCAGAAGAGCTAAAGTTTGATACTTGAACAGCTCCCATCCCCGCAACATTCATCAACTCCTAAACGGACTCCCCTTACTGCAGGCGACCGTTGAGAAAAAAATGCATCGGATTCGGAGTCAAATTCTCAGGATGTATCCAGAAGATTCCAGAAGGTACAGCTAATGTCGGCTCTTTGATATTTATTGATATATGTGTAATCCTCAGTATACTGCTTGGAGTGATGTAATGGAGACTCTTGATCAATAAAAACCCCCCCTATGAGCGATATGAGGAGGTGTTCAATACAAATGGGGGTGGGTTGCATGAATCGACATTCTACCATGGACCATCCTAATTTGTTTGTCCTGGACCCTACATGTTTGGACCATCCTGTTTGTCTGTTTCGGGCGTGCCCAGAGGGTCAGATGGACCTGGTTTGGTCGGATGGCCCCCCTTTTGGTGGGATGGCCCAGGTGCTGGCCGCCCTTACGGTTCCTCTGGTGGACGCGGGACGCTTCAAGAGGACGCCGGACGCTGTTTCGGCCCGTGTTCGCAGCTGGGACCGGCGGGACCGGCACCGTGACCCGGGGTGCTGTTCGGCCCGGAGTGCTGGTGGCGTTTGTTTCTCGATTCCTGGAGCAGAAGAGACCAGGGGCCCGAAGCAAAAGAATGAAAAAAACCAAGGTTTTCACATTACCCCAAACCCAAGCTTTTTGCTGAACACCAGGTGATCGATGGTTTGTGGGGCCCCTGGTAAGGACCTTCTCCAATCGACCCAATCTCGGAGGTGCGCCTCAGTTGGCCGTCAACTTGGTGTATAGTGCATGTGTGTTTTTGTTCATGTTTGTTTCTTCATCTCGGAGACCTGTTTCTGGAACAAGAAGCCTGAAAAGATTTGTGGTTCAGTTTTAGGCCCTTGTTCCGACATCACTCATACAGTAAGTGAACCTTCGGAGGGGGCAGGTGCCCTAAGGCCTTGCCATGGCCTTGCCTTGGTTTTGAACAAACACACTGAGATCGACCGACCAGGATCAACACCACCGCGCTCCGGATCCCCACTACTTTGCTACCAGAGGTGCCCTGCCCGGTGGCAGGAGGGTCGAAGAAGGAATCTAAGCTCCTGTGTGTGGAATTGATGATTAAAGAAGATGACCTTCAAAGATGCTAAGCTTCCAAGAAGGTAGGGTGCACTCCCCCAAACTTAAAGCCTTCTAGCGATTTTGCTTTCAATCCTACCTGTAAAGAACTATATATACTATTTTAGTGTACAGTATAGTGTGTATATATATATGATGCCAAACATGCTTGTTATCGGGGGAGTGTGCCTGCGTTTTGGGCGAGCTGCAACCTGACTGATACTAATTTGCTTGGGTTTTGCGATCCTTGTCTATGAGTTCTTCATACGATATGATACGTTGTAAGTCGAGACCGCAGGGTAAGGACAGAGAACATGAGGGCAGGAACAATTGAAGAGCAGCCGCCATGCTTCTTCACGGATAAATATGCACAAATCATGAGAACCCAAGATGTTTTTTCTTTTGACGGTGATCTCCTCTCCAGCCAACTGTCAAGTTGTTCAACATTGTTCAACCTTTTTGGCCGTTGGATTTAGGTCCTTTGACTCCCAAATCAGCCTCCCAACGGCGTTCAACGCGGTTGATGGCTTCAACACTGTGGGGACTCTGTGAACCATTCAGCAGTGTACCCCCGCTCCGGCTGCAAAGCTCGTTCCCAACGGCCTTTTTTCGGAGTGCGTAGATCACCGCAGGGTGCGGGTTTGAACATCAAGTTGCTGTACAGGTTGTTAAGGACTATGTTTTTCAGGAGGATCATGTAGACTCTCAGAGTCTCGATGACCTATACAATCCCGCCAGACATGGGATTGCAAAGGCTCTTCAAGCCAGGTAACACCAACTGCCACGACATGGGTCGTCTCCATTTGGATCCCAGTCGACCATTTCGTCTCCTGAGTCGGAGACCTGTTGGGTGAGCCCCTACGAGTGTGATGCACATCGCCCACACTGCAGGTGTAGAAGCCCACTTTAGGGGCTCGGGCTCGGGCTAACGGCCCACCGAACTCGTTTCGGTCCAGGGCGACCCAGGGGGGGTCTTGGGGGTTCGAAAGACCACCGGTCGAGCCCGGGGAGATGGGACGACGGAGGTGGGAAGATCATGTTCTTCCATGGGTCAATTCAACAGTCTACAGGGATCATGAGGAACATGTCCATGTGAAAAAAAAAAGCTTCCGAGGCTCAGCTTCCTTGGTTCCCCTAACTTGCACTCCCTGAAATGGTCAGGAATGTGAACACTATATAGCTAGCTGTAGAGGAAAAGGGTAAATCCTTTTGGGGCCATTGCCATCCACGGAACCGTGATTCTTTGAGGGAGCTGCAAAGCATTGGTTCCGTGGACGCGTGCACGGTCGCACCGTGCCAAGATTGCATTGTATAAAGAGAGTGAACTGATCAGATGCCACGTTTGGCATTGATTGTCGATTTGTTTGGTCAACGATTGCGCTGATCGAGAGCTTGGTAACACCAAGATCGATGAGACTGGAGCCAAGGCCCGGAAAGCAGGGGTCTTCCCGTTTTCCCAGAGGGAAGACAAGGCTTCTAACAAGAGATCGTCGATCGCGAGGATGATTTTTTTCTCGTGGTCCATCGCATCTGGAATCGCCCCCGGAGGCTGCGGCCAAAACGAACGCGTCAGTGAACACCACCAACACAAGCAGCTTGGCGTGCAGTTTCGCACGAACATCCCGAGATGCTGACCACAAACTCAACTGGGCCGGTGACTTGACGTGGGTTTTGGTCGACCCAACAAATAAAGCGGGTTTGGAGTGAATTGTGCCTGTGAATGCCTGCAATAGAATGAAGTCTAACTAATTTAAAAGAACCATTCTGAATCAAATTGTAAAGCCTCTTCATGATTCTTCATGTATATTTTGATATATATATATGTGTTTATTGAAGTTTATTGATATAATGATAGTGTTTGTAGTACTAACTCAGGATTGTTCGCAGGTTTGTATGCACCA